GGAAAGTACATACATGATCCACTAATAAAAGTGAGACCACCAATCATGTAATGTGTACCATGAAATAATCGCCATAACGGTGGTTGTGGTCGTGTAAGAATATCATCACCAGGAAAAGGAATTAAATGTGTTTCTTCAGTATGTGATGTCATGTCTTGTTTGATGTCAATACAATCTTTGTAAAATGTTGAAGTGCGTTCTTTTTCTCTCGTTAATGTGAGTATATATAAGGTGGCCTTCAAAAAAGCACAAAAATACACCCTGGTTTCTTTTTTCCTCTTGTTTTGATGTTGCAGTATTGACGCAGAACAGAAAAAGAAAATCTATGGTAGTATATGCGTATCTCTTTTTATCTATATAAAACTGCTGTGAGATTAAGACAATTTCGCACATGTTTTCTTGCACACCCCTTACGGAGAGAATAAGAAAAGAAAACCAGATACTCTGCTTTTGGTATATTTTGATGTGTCAAAGTACAAAAGTATTTTCAAATGAAACTGAAGTATTTTATTTAAGTACAAGTAGTATAAAATTATTTTTTAACCTAGGGTAGATACTTCAATATAATTGGATTAAAATAAATATGTGTTTTAAATAATTCCATGAAAAATATGATTAGAAGTTAATACGTTTGAATTAAATTGAACGAGTTAATTTCCGATTAATTATGATTGTTAGAAAATGAATAGATATGATAGGAACAGCATGACATTTTTTGTTAAATGTCAAGGAGTCTAAATCAATGCAGATATTCTATGGATCGATTTGATTATATAGTAGAATATATATGTTATCGTTGACATTAATTAGAAGGAATTTAACGAACTGTGATCTCGATCGAAGTGACTTTGATTGAGATTGTAACTTATTAAAGATTTCGACAAACTGATATTATACGATTGATTTTTTTATAGTTGAATTCGACTGGAATTTGCTCTAGAGATCTCCACATAAAATAGTGACCAACTGGAGATAAATATTATAGAATACAAAATAATAATAAAAATCCAATAGTGCCTATTACATCTCTAACATATAAACGACATTGACTTGTATGCATTACGTGAAAGTTTATGACATTCAAACGCGATATACATAACTTCATTTGAAATTGAGAACAGTCTATTCAAAACGATCGATACGAATATCTAATCTTTTCAAATGCTCTAAGATTCGCTTGCGTTTTATATTACTTTATTTAATTCATGTAATAGAATCCGATACAATGAAAATTATTTTCATTGAATGAATTAAACTAAAAAATTTTTTTAAATATAATCAAGTTTATTTGTATCAAAGTATAATAATTAATTAAAATATTTTTTTAATTTCCCGGAAGAAGATCCTTAATGATTTATCAGAATCTTCAGTTTTACTGGTAAAATAACGATGAAAATTTTAAAATATAAATAAACGACAAAAAGCTAATGAAGGATCAAGATTATTCTTCAGGATTCTATGAAAACGGGTTAAGAATATTTAAAGAGAATAGATTATGTAAATATATTCAACGGTAAATTGAAGTAGTTTTTGTACGAGACTGTACTTCACGTTTTAAATGTTTTATGTTAGGCGTTTTAGTATCTAATGCATCAGTCTTAGATGCTTTGATAGTAGTAACATTTTGAATCTAAATCCATATATTAATGGAAGAATAAATAGAGATAAAACTATACCTAGACAAAAAATAGTCAACCAATACCAACGTTTGATATTGTCATATTAGCTAGTACACAAAACATTTAGGTAGATAATGAAATCAACTTTTTAAAAGATATCGCTTAATAGCATAATATTTTGGAATCAAAGGAGTAGGAAATTTGCAAGTGCTAATTTTTAAGGAACATATATCTTGAGACAAAGATAAGAAAAAACGAAGAAATTTTAAAAAATTGCGGAATATTTTTCAAAAGGTCTACCCATGTAACTAAACATGTTGCTAATTTTATGAAAATGAAGGAACGATTATAGTAGTAATGAATGTTATTAAATGATTTAATCAGTCTTTTAACATATTTCTTCAATAAATACTTCGCATAAACACATCTAAGATGTATTTATAGGAATAATGATATACTGCAAAGTTGTTAAGAATACGCTACCAAGATCTTTTATTATCTTCAGTATTGATTAAGGCCACCTTTATCATAATTACAAGAAACATAATTGCGTAGAACGAAATCAAGGTTTACAAAAAAAAGAGTGCTGGAACACCGTTAGCAATTTACAACAATAATCATATCAATCATAATTCGACAACTGACTACTAGCTAATATTTACAACAACAACTATTCATCGATAGAAATATTGAAAATAAATGTTTACTAATACACTGGACATTACTCAAATAAAATATCTATATATTACAAGATCGACTAACAGAATGTTTACATGAACTGAGATTTATAGAGTTTTAACATTTTTAGTTTAATTTTTTTGGGGAATGCTTTTTTCCATCTGCCTGACATGAAAAATTTCAAGAACACCCTTTTCATCTTAATATACTTTTATGCCACTGAAAGAACGCTTTTGTATGTAAACAAATCAAATATACGATAAGAAAGAGGATACGTTATTTCTTTCTCTTCGAGTTATAAATCAAATCACATGTGTCAATCTACCTGAATGATAAAGGGGGTATAGATCGATAAATTTATACATATACATAGTTACTACGATAGATTTTCTCTTTCTGTTCTGCGTCAATACTGTAACGTCAAGCCAAAAATAGAAAAATCTAGGACATATTTTTTCGAAAGTGATCGATAGACAACTGTATTTACGAAATAAAAGAAACAATCAATCCATTTCACACAGATTGCATTAACATTAAAAATAATATGACTTCATCTACTGAAGAAACGCATTTAATTCCTTTCCCTGGTGATGATATTCTTACACGACCACAATCACCGTTATGGCGATTATTTCATGGTACACATTATATGATTGGTGGTCTCAC